ATTATAGTGAGATTGTGGTAACTGCAACTATTTTTTTCTCTCAGTGTGGGCAAAACTTAAAAAAAACCCCCATAACAGCCTCCCCCGAAAAATTTGGAAAATTTTAAGACCAGTTGCAAGAAGATCGGTCCACAAATGCAGGAGTTCCCGGTGAAACAAACAAACAGTGTGAATGCATGGGTGGGTGCGTGGGTGAGCAAAACTTGAAAAAAACCCCCCATCGTCACAATCCCAGAAAAATTTGGAAAATTTTGAGACCAGTTGCAAGAACATCGTCCACAAATGTAGGAGGAGTTCGCGGTCAGACAGACAGACAGACAGAGAGCCTTATGAACTTCGTTAATTTGTTAAATCATCGAGTCTTTTTAGATTTGGTAAGTGGGCAGGACTTACATGTCTCGCTGGGCATGAGAGAGTTAAAAGGCAGACCATGACAGTAGCCTCATCTGAGCGTCGTCGATGAATTATCTAATGCAACCGCGGAAAAATGGCACGGGCTTACCCGGAAACGGGGAAAGAATAAACGCGGCCGACCCTTCGGCCGAAGACGGAGATCACGATCTCCGATTGTCCCGGAGCTTTGGGCAAGGAGGCTTAGTCACGAAACCGTGAAAAGCGTCCAATTAGGAGCAGGAAGCGCGCTTTACGGGACTTCGCTCAACCCTGATTCAACCGATCGCCTTAAACGTCTTCTCTCCTTCTCTTGCCTTCGCCTGAGACGATTCGCGAGGGTATCGAGCTTACGTATGCCGCGTGTCTCTTTAAAAGTCCTCGCGGGACAATCGGATAAATCAGACGGTTGCGTGTGCGAAAGTGCGATCACTTTTAAATCATGCTTGGTGACGCATCGGACTGCGAACGTTCGTTCACGGTGCAGGTATTCGCGCAATCGAATTTCCTTAAAGGACTCGCGCTATTTAGTTCTCAATACGCCGTTTTTCACGGAAGTTATCCCGCGGCGAGGTTTCGCGAATTTCCATCCGTTCTTACGGCACAAAGCGCGTAAACAGTTTCCAAATCCGCAAGAATGTCCTGCATTCCTTCGACCGGCTAACCACAGTGGGATCTCCTAATCCGTAGTAAAAGGATACCAAATGTTCTCCGCTCGGCATAATGACTCTAAGAGCGCGGGAGGCCGAAAGGGACGGACGCAACGAGGCGGAAAGAGAAACGAAGAGCGAGAGATAACCGAGCGTACTCGCGGGAATAATGCAGGCACGACCGCTGGACAGCAAAGACTTGGCGTGATTTATCTAATATTTCCTTATTCGGCCGCGAGTCCGCTGTGTGGAACACCTGGGAGCGCCTTCCCTTTTCTCTCTCCCTCGCGAGAATTCATGGGAAAAGTGACTGCTCGATGATGCGACGACGCGAGAATAGAACGTGATCGAAAGAACGCACCGTAATCACGAGATTCTTATCGGTATTCTTCTTATTAGAAAATATCGGTAAATATCGGTAGATATCGGTAAAAATATCGGTAAATATCGGTAAATATCGGTTATTAAAATTATCGGTATTCTTCTTATTTAAAAAAAAAACTTACCGGACGTTTTTACCACGAGAACAGTTATGGACCGAGGGAAGACTATGATAATAAAGTTTATCTTCGGCGAGGTAGGCACTAAGACGCGTCGCGTAATAACTTTTGGCCGAGAAAAATAACGGAGGACCAGATCGGAATTAGGACCTTCCGCTTGCCGGGCGATTATTCTTTCTACTAAGCTGTTCAGGCCCCCACTGATACTCTTGTCTGTTCTATTTTTTGACCAAATAGAGTAGGAATAATAATAAGCGGCGCGACTCCAGAGCTTGGTGTCTCACTTGGTAGACCAGCGAGAATGGATGCAAAGGATTCACACTCCCAACGACCTCTCTACACGGAGGGTGCTTTCCAGCAACGTACACAGGCGACACTGTGTAACACAGTGAATCGTTTTATCTTTGTCGTTTGCCATCATTAAACGAGGATAAAATGATTCTCTGCGTTACGCCGTGTCAATCTGTGTCTCTTGCTGGAAAGCACCCGGAGAGAATTTCCTCTTAAAATTTACCCTGAAAATTATGCAATCGTGGGGACAACATGGCATTTTGAAGACCTTTACGAGAGTTCTTTGAAATGTTACCATACGGCCATAGACAAAATTATTAGGCACCCTCTTGAACATTGCATTGCAAATCTAAGTGCGCTACTTTTATACACATGTATGCGTAATTTGGTGAAGCACTTTTTGCCATTTTCTTCTGTTTAAAATCGCAACACTTGATAAACGTCATTCAAAAAGATCATTTTTAAACGGCAAGAAATGTGTGAAATAAATCTGTTGTGATTTTCAACGGAAATAAATCTAATACTAGAAACGTTAATGTTTAAAAGTTGTATACTGCATAGAAGCAATGAACGCTTTACTAGATAATTTTGATTGGGTGCCTAATAATTTTGTCGATGGTTGTACATTCTACTAGTAAAATGTATGGTAAAATTTCAAAAAAAGTTATAAAATTCTTCAAAATGCCATGTTGTCTCACGATTGCATGATTTTCAGGGATAAATTAAAAAAAAACAACCTCGTTGATCGAGTTGGTTAAGACACTAGTCATGAGTCGAGGGAGGTCCCAGGTTCGAATCCCGGCTGAGATAATATTTTTCGCAATAAGATTTCTATTTCAGTACGGGATGGGGAGTTATTGTATTGAATGCTAGGTAAAGCATTTTTAAGTAATTAGAAACCGTTCATCGATTTACAATACGTGAATTCGCTGACGCCAACGATTCCACCTAAGACATTAACGGCGCGCAGGACAGGGTGGAAAAACGGCACATGAATTCACATATTAACTTTAAAATGATTGGGCCCCACCTTCATCTTGCTCGTACCTAAGTAATGATTTGGCGCTCTCGTTTCCATTAAAAAAAAAAAGAACTTCTCCCCGTGCAGCAAACGAACAAATCGTCGTCGAGTTATCAGAGCTCGTTACGGGGCTCGCGAACTGGTTTCTTCCGCGTTGCGAATTATATCGCGAATTTCGTCCCATACGTCACTTCGGAGTCAACTTACTGGCATTCGTCACAGGTAACCTTTCGATCTTGATGGAGCCGTCCGTGTCGGGCGTAGGCGTGAGACCGGGGTAGGAACCCTGAGGTTGCGTCACCGTTACCGCAGGATGTGGACTCGCCTGGAAAAAGATGGCGGTGCGGGTCAGCTCGCCGTACAAAAGGGACGACGGGCAGGTTCCTCGCGACTGTATTTTTTCGATTGGAGAGGCTCCTTCTTACCAAATGATCCAGCTGCGGTGGTGAGGTGTGCGAGTATATCCCGCCGTGTGGACCGATCGAGCCAAGATGAATGGCCTGACTCTCGGCGTGATTCCTCAGCACGTTTATGGCATCGTCTAACCGCTCCTCCATCCGTGTCCCCTGTACCAACAGAATACCGAAAATGCGACTCGATTACGTACGGATATCTCGAGAGCGCTCGCTGCCTTATTACGAATCATTCGAGGGATGCTACAGGGAGACGTATCGCTTACGTGTTTTTTTCTCAGATTCTTACGGTTTATCCCAGAATAGATTCGGAGAGTAAAAGTCAAAGAGAGAAATTTAATTCTTTTGCTTACAAATGTTCCACGTTAGAGAGATAGTTCTGCTAGACCCGAGAAGTAGATCGACGGAAGGAACATAGAATCAGAAGAGTATCGTGTGAAAAACAAAAGAGAGTCCGACCGATGAATTGAATTAAAGGGTTTAAACCGGTTTTAATGCCGACTGATGTCGAAACGCGTTCTTGTTAATAGAAAAGCCACGATTATACATTGTGCACAATGAAGACCTCCTCACAGTGTATAATCATAATTGATCGAAAGCGTAATCAGCAAAAAAAAGTGCAATGGTCTTGGCATTTGTCGCGTGGCGTAAACATGCGTAAAAGAACGTGGAAAAGAAGGGAGCGAATGACAAGTGTCGGGACGGAGGGGGGGGGGCCAAAACAAAAAAATGAAATTCGGCGGTCCTCACCTCGGCGTGGTCGCGAAGGAAGCCGATGGCATCGTCTAGCCTCTGCTGTTCAGGCGCCGGCTTCACACACAACACCAACGCAACAACAAAACCAAAAAAAAAGAGAGAAACAACCAAGTCAACACAACGTTCACAACAAACAGGGCGGAATGAATAAAAATGTGTCGTCAGATGAACAGGAGGGAACGATAAACTTAATAATCTTTTACGCAAACGGGGGGGGGCGGGGCGGGGGAGGATGTAAATAAGTAGCCGCTCGTAAGCAAACAAACGGTGATTTTTCGGTGCAAACGCGGTCATGCACTTTGTGCAACTTCACTGCTGCGTGCTTATGTGCGAATAGCGACTGTAATCTCTCGTAATAAAAAAAAAAAGAGAGAGAGAATGAAAACTTGGCACAAACAAGAACGGACGACGGTCTTTTTTTACTTCCGCTTGTATACCGTTTCTCCGTTGCTCGCAAACAATCCTCCCCCTCCCCGAAAAAAAAGATAAGAATTGCGCGTGTGACAATTGCTGTTGACGTGTCGCATCAGCGTACGTGTGTGTGGCGAAATAACACGTCGGAAAACCAGCGCTTGTAAAAGTGGAAAAATTGTCCCGTGCGTGTCTCTGAAGCGGCCAAAATTATACACGGGCCCAGAGACCCTTTCAACGATGTTCGACCGATTAATAGATAGGCTCTCGTGTATCGCGAGGCTTAAGTCGGCAAAATGACCGTCCGGTAAATTGGCGAAATGACTTGAGAGCGGACGACGCTGAAAAGATCCTGGGGTGGCTTGTGCAGTGGCCGTGAGATCGTTGTAATTAGTAATCGTATCAAATACAAGCTAGAACCTCGATACATACCATGTGAATACCACGATTGGGGTCCGCCGTAAAATGCGGAGATACTGGCGCGGCTCCAGGTGCCCAACCTGGTGCCGAACCGGTTAAAGGTGGTGGCGAACTGACGGGCGTAGATGGATTACTGCTATAACTGGATACTGATTGGTCCGTATTGGTATACATCTGCGAAAAACGTCGCGATAACGACACGTCGTGACATAACATTACGTAGTAGAAAGTAACGTCGCGTCGTAAAGTGAGACGTATCTCAACGTCGCGATAAATATTACATTAGATTGCGAAAACGTCTCTAGGCGCGACACAAGTTACTTAAGATCATCCAAGTGTTCCTTTCATCTATAATGGATAATATCCAGTATTTTTGCAACGTTTCGCCCGCGTTGACCCTTTGCAACCCAATATTGGAAAAAAAAATCTGTTTTTAGAAAGACAAATTTATTGCACGCACAAGCAACTGCCGATTAAGCAAGCGAGTAATAAGAGAATCATAATAATAATATTCATTGCTGTATCCCACGCGGAGAGAATTTTCTCTTAAAATTTATCCGGAAAATTATGCGATCGTGAAACAATATGGCATTTTGAAGAACTTTATGTGAGTTTGGTGAAATTTTACCATACTTTTTACTACGCTGATAAAAAGATATGTAATAAAAAAAATATTACTTTGCGCAACAACATTTTTCATTAGGCGGCTCCTAATAGCTTATTAACTTAAATTTAAAAAATACTTAACAAATTGCAAACGTGCATTGCTTCAATTTAAGTATTTATTAAATGTCAAAGAACAGATAATTTCAAATTTAAAAAATTTTATTTTAATTCTATTTAATGTTTACTAAGATGTAATTTTTACAGCGAAGAAAATTGGATTTCTTACTTAACAAAAACGATTATTTCATTTAACATAGCATTCTATATCTCATTAAATTTTTATTTGAATGTAGAAAATGTAAAATTTCAATTAATTTATTTAATATAATACAAAGTTACTTGAAATTTGATATTTTTATTTAAATAAAATAAATATTTACTTCAGCATAAAAAATAATTTTAAGTAAATCCATTTACTTGGTTTAAAAATGTTTTGTCAGTGTAGTAATTGTACTTAATATTTACTAACAAAATGTATGGCAAAATTTCAAAAACCCGTCACAAAGTTGTCCCACGATCACATGATTTTCCGGGTAAATTTTAAAAGAAAATTCTCCCCGTGCACGTTTCGAAGAACAACGCAAAGTTTCAATTGTCTCTCAACTGGGGAAAAGTCGATAGTGGCGACGAAAAATTCAAAGAGCACGGCGGCCCGTGGTCCAGCAAAAACCACCGGGATGCAAAGGGCTAAGTATCTTCTGTTCTGCCGGCGCTAAAGGAAAAAAAATTAAACTTGACGACCGAGAGACATACTCGGTTGCTCACGACGGATGCGAGGGTCTTGCCGAGGGTGTCGTCCGTGGTGGATTGCTGGTTCGTCGTGGGCGCAGCGTTGGGCGCGGAAGGCGCGGTCGTTGGTGCACCAGGACTATGGCTATATTGCAACGATGCCGGCGACGGCGCCCCTGTGCCGCTGTTCGCCGCGACCGCGGCACTACCCCGGAATGTCGACATTGGCGGCAGGGAAGCCGCACTGGTCACCGCCGAGCCCAGGATCGGCGCTGCAGATTCACCGTTCGGCGACATCGCCGAGTATGCCTGAAACCGCCAAGCGCAAATGGTTCGACGCTCGGTTCTTGTGGTAACTGTCTCGGGGGCGAAGTCGTGGGAATACGTGATCGCGTCTTCGACGTTAATTATCGAACTTGCGTCCGGTACGTTGGAATCTGTCGCCGTAGGTGGTTCTCTGTCGATAGGACGAGTTCTGTAGGATTTTGCGGGAGCGTCGTTCGGACGACTCGTAGTCGCGAGACGGTAAGACGACGTGTCGTCTACGCATCTCAGTCTTTATCTTCGTGGATCGCAGGAGGGAGAGGCTTCGGGAGAGACTCGAGGATGTTCAGGGACTTCCGCGCGGCGTCTTCTCTGAGAGCGCGTGGCATGCGTGCGCGAAACGTCGGATTGATTTATCCCGTGTGCAGCTACAAACGATAAAGGTCCACGTTACAAGAATCCCCCGGGTGGTTTCCAGGAGCCGCGCGGCGCTCGGCGATCCGCACGGATTGCCCCGAGCGCGTCTATCCCGGCCATAATGGATCGCCTCGACCAGCTTTGATATCGGATACGCGCCGAGCGTTGGGATAGCGCTCTCTCGCACCTACTGAAACCGCTCGTAAAAGTCTAATTTTAAGCCTGCGCCGACGCTCTATGGAGCGTAGTGTATTTATCAACAAATTAGAGTGGCCGGGACGCCTACGCGGACGTAGGTGCCGCGCGTAAAAACCGATCGCTACGCTCCTCCGTAGGCGGGACCGGCGGATTTCGACGGATAGACTGGAAAAACTCGGAGGGAGATCTCGTCGATGGACGGCGCGTTCTCGGAAGGCGGGTCATTAAACTGGGCGATCGTAAATGTTTAATCTTTGGTAACCGAAAGAAATCTCTCTCTTACCTCGAGTCCATCCCCCTCGGACGCGCTCGCCCTAAATCGTACAACATCTTTACGACGGTTCCTGTCATATCACGTAGGCCAAAAGGCCTCGCCTGTAGCTACGACAATAAAATGGTTTGTCTTACAGCCGTTAAAAGTCGGGCTTTATGAACCGAGAGCGGAAGTTTACAGCGGTCCATTGTGCATATATAAAGAATTAATCAAAGTACGTAAGAACAACGTTTATCGGGCGATTCGCGCCCGGTCGGAGGCGATCGCGATCGCGGACGACGTCGTACGCCGGGCGGCAGGAGCCTTCCTCTCGTTGTCTCAAAGGGAGCGAGAGGCTGCCGAGAGACGGGTACGAGGTGCCACGAAGAGGAGGATTTCGTGGTAACCATGAACGGCGTAAATCAAACGAAGGCTGCACTTGACTAGAAACACGGAGTAGCGGGAGGGTCGGGGCTATATATAGACGCCAGTGAGTCATTTGACGTTACTCCGGGTACGTGGAGCACTGTCAACAGTGTCTCTCAACCATGGCGAGGCGATGAAGAGAGGGAACGCCTCTCTCCTCGCGCGCACGCGACAATCAACCGGGTGGTCCGAAATAAGACAGCCAGAAGAGACCACCAGCTGGCCCGTCGGATCACGGTTGACGAGGAGGATTAGGGCCGACGTCGCGCCGGTTAGTCGGGAGAGTAATGGCCGACCGAGGGAAGCCGCGACGCGCGGCTCGTCCTCGAGACGACCCCGGCACTTGGCCCGGCGAATTCGCGGCTCGGGGAGACCGCCCGGCCGAGATTTACCGCGCGATCGGAATTTATCACGTTCCGCGGAAAGCCATCAGCGATACGATAAATCCTCCCCCCCGAAAAAGTTGGCGAGTCTGTGGATGTTCTCGATGAAGAACGCCGCGAGTCCCGCATCTCCTGGAATCTCGTGGGAGGAAAGAGAGAGAGAGAGAGTGCATTTCAAACAGCCGTCCGTCCGCTTCGACGTGCAGCGACGTCAATGGGATGAAAGTCGGCGAATTGGCGGAATCACCGGCCGAGCTGAATTCGGCGAGACCGTGACTGGTCCCCGCGATACGCGGGAGTTCGCGGCGGAATTAGCGCGCGCGCGGGTTCTCCGGTTCGAAAGGGTCGATCTTTCATCGTCCAATTCAATTTTTATACGTCGATTACGCAATCGAGGTTTCGTCGAACCTCGTGACTTTCGGGGGGGGGGGGGAGCAGGGAGAAAGGAGAAGGAGGCACCAAACGCCGCTCGGGAGGCACATCGATCTTCCGTAGCACCGAGATTAGGTCGCTCGCCCTTAGGTTTTAATCTGTCGACTTCCTCGTCGAACTCGCGTGTTCGACGACGGAGAGTACGGGAGAAGGAATATCCCCATGTCTATTACCAAGTTCCAGAGACGTCGTTTTCGCGACGGCGGCTCCGTAGGAACCAGCAGCCGAGTCACGCGTGATTGATCGTTTCTTCGGGTTCGGCCGCGGCGAGGGATAGTCGGGGATAGAAACGAGAGAAAGGAAGCGAGCGAGCGAAAGAGAGAGAGAGAGAGAGAGAAAAAAAGGTAGGAGAAATCACTTACCATGGGGTCGTGGGGTAGGTGCATGGCATAGGCTGGCTGCGTTAGGTGAGAGGGCGCGTATCCACTGTATGGGGTTTGGACACCACCGCCGCTACCCGTCCACGGGTCGCCTGGACCGGTTCCTGCAGCATTACCATCTGCAACAGGAGAGAGAGGCGGTGTCTCGATCAATCGCGGTGTCATCCGACTATTGTCCGAATCGCCGGGATCTAAGATAATCGATTCCGAGCGTCCGCATTGAAAGGAGACAGATTTCAGAGTATTTCTGATAATACAGGCGCAACGGGGGAGAATTTTGCGACGCTATTGGGAGACCCCTCGGCGCGCTTTTACCACCGACGCGGCGTCGCTCGTCGCACTCGCAAAAATTCTTTCTCGCACGATGTAATTCAAGTATATCGCGGAATACCGACGGTAACCCCGCACACCTATCCGGGCACTTTCTACGTCATTGGAGCGGGAAATAGTGAATAATAGAGCACGTGGCGTACGGCGGGGCAGAATGTCACGCACGTGCTCGAATAATGGGCGCTCAAATCGAATTAAAATGCATCCTCGCGGGGCTTAATCGAATTTCCCCACTCGTCAGGGACGCCTTGCGCCCCCGCTTCATACTGTTTGTACAATTTCGGTCGATTAACACGACGGCGACGTTCCGCGTCGAACACGCGCCGCGGCAAACTTCCTAATCAAGCGACGATGTCATTCCTTCCGCAGTAATTATTTCGAGAACGAGTATCCGCGGTATGATACAACTTCCCTGGACTTTCGCCAAGTCGAAATTTCGCGCTTTCCAACGTCTCACTCGGCCCCCGGGCGTCGTTTGCGGCGGAGCCGCGAGCGCGCGCGCGCACACCCGGTATAAGGGCCAATAGACGCGGTACCCAGCGCGGGGCCATTATTTCAGTTGAAAACAACAGCAATAAGCTTCGGGAACGTATTTCTTGATACTTTTGCTTGATATAATTCCCGTACCGGGCGCTCCTCGACGAGAAAACGGAAACTAAGCCAAACTACTCGGGCGTTCCTACCAACTACCGGTGTTCGATGTCTGATAAAACTTTTTCGCCCCCTCGTCGTGGCCTCCCATTTATAAGCCATTCCGGTCAGCTACCGGGTGCCACGAGCGCCGACACGTATTTCGAAAGCGTACTTAAACTGCTACTTTTCTCATCTGATCCATAATAACGAGCCCTGCGGCGAAAACTTTGCCGATTTCATAGATCTATCATCGCGCGGATCGTCCGAAATATTTGCATACTTAAGGGGGTGCTGGGAGTGATTCTGCACTTTTGGCACCTTTTCCTCCTAGAACCGTTCAGTTCGTCAAAACATTTGTGCAATATACAAATTGTGTGGCTTTCGTGTACGAACCGACAGTGTGCCACTAATCGGACTAAATCAGAGAACAGCATGGTATCGTTGAAATTAAGTTTAGAAGCCTAACAAAAAATCTATTCGCTCGAACGAGTTATAGGTTAGGTAACCAATAATAAGTGAATAGATTTTTTGTTAGGCTTCTAAACTTAATTTCAATGATACCACCCTGTTCTTTCATTCAGTCCGATTAGTGGAGCACTGTCTGTACGCAAAAGCCACGTAATTTGTATATTACACAAATGTTTCCACGAATTGACAGTTCTAGGAGCAAAAGGTGCCAGAAGTGCAGAATCCCTCCAGCGTCCCCTCGCGGAATTCTATGGATCATTCGTTTCGCCAAGGTGGCCTTTCTTTTACAGGGACTACGTATTCTTGCATGTAAGTGGCGATTCAATAAAAATGTTTAAAAACGCCCGGTTTTTACTCAAGATGTTAACTTTGATACACAATTTCCTACGATTCCCTGCACGAGTCCGAAGCGAGGCGACGAGCGCCCGCGAGGTATAGAGCGTGACGGAACGTGTACGTTGCACCTGCCGAGATGACGATAATTTTTCAAAGATCCGTTATAATCTACGAAATAAACCGTAAACTGTGCAATTACAGTTCCATAAAAACGAGCAACAGCTCCGACTAACAGAGTAATTCGCGCGACGCAGTCTAATTATACTGTTTAACGCCTTTGTCTTGATATTCTGTAAATAGTTTCTAATTGATTGCGTGGCATTGATTATGAATATAGCCGTAAAAATGTTTTGAGAAATTCATTTCCGATTTATTTCTCGAGTTCCTAAACTCGTTAAAAAAATTTCGCGGCCATTTTGTCCATCACTGTACACATTTGGTCACTCATCACGTGTTGCAATTGCAAGATTAAAATGGAGGATCCACGATGGATCAAATTACAAAAAAAAATCATCTAAAATATAGAAGAAAAAATGAGTGACGAGGCAAATGTATGGGGGGGAAGTCTCCTATTATGGGATAGCGGGGTTTTTGCTAAATTAATAGGCATCATCTGTTGGTTCCACCGTGAATTTATTGCCCTCGGAGCGAAATCTGTTTAGCGGAAAATTGATCGTTAGATCGTGTAATCGTTGCGAAAAAAAGACTCGCGATTGACCTGCTATCCCGTATTAGAATCCAATCTCATAACAGAGGACTTTACGTTTCGCAAAATGTATACCGATATCACGGGAGTATCGCGTAAAAGAGCGAGTCACGTCAAAGCGACTTTGCGCGAGCGACGAAAAATTATTATTAAAATAGCGGGACTAAGATGCCGGCGCCTCGATAAATGTTCGTTGGGACAACAAAGTAGCGCGATTCGCGGTGGCCGGTGCCGAGGCAGGCGGCGGAGAATTGCTTTTATTGGCAATATCTCGTCGACGAAGTTTTCCCCGTGGAATTTTTTTTTTCGACGGCGGCGTGCCGGATATATCCGCGAAATCCAGCAACGAACTTCGGCACCCCCGCCGCGCCGCTTGAACAAATAACGAGATTGTTATTGTTTTTACGCGCGACAGGCAGAGCGGCAAATTTTACGAGCGAACGTTAAACAGTTGAATATTAGTGCGCTCGTAAAATCCCTTTTATCGTCCATTCGGATCGTTATGCGATTTCCAAATGATATATACGTACACACACACACACACAAGCGCGCGCGCGCGCGCGCTCGATGCCGATGGCTGCTGATTTGCAGATAACGATCGATCTATCGAACCCTCCCCGGAGGCTCGCACTATCTCGTTTAATTATACCCACATCCGCTGATATCGATTATTAACAGATATAAGCCAGTAATCTATTTCACAACTACTTTCGTGAAATTAGTAATCGATAACGGGTCTGTTACTACGCGCTCTATTTTCGTTCTTTATCTGTCGCGATGTCTGCCCCGTTCGGAGATCTCGAAGACACAATGATTAATTTGACAAAAATCCGCCGTTCCCTATCGGAGTTGTTGAAATTGAAGCACAGCGTATCTTCAGCCCTCTGATTTTTACTAATGTTTAGCACGCGTTTTCGCTTACCGATGTAATACGAGTCCGTGTACAGGGCACCCTTCGGCGACGTGTATCTCGGCGAGTCCTGCCCGAATTCATCCGAGCCATACTGCAACAGAAAAGGCAAATATTCATTATTAAGAATTCATTATCGACACTAGAAATATCGAAGATTAATCACACAAAGGGAAAGGAAACAGAAAACAAATTTGTAAAATTAATCCTCTGCCATTTTCATTTAAAATTTACCATGAAGATCATGTAATCGTGAGGCAACATGGCATTTCGAAGAGTTTTGAGAGTTTTTTGAAATTTTGCTATACATTTTACCAGTAATTGTACTTGGTTTACATTTTACTAGTAAAATGTATGGTAAAATTAAAAAAACTCATAAAATTCTTCGAAACGCCACGTTGTCCCACAATTTTCAGGATAAATTTTCAGAGAAGACTCCGCCCGTGCACATTTCACTAAGAGCCAGGTGAAAAAATTTCAGAAATTAAAACGTTTCCAAAATGACCAACAATTATTTAAAAAATTACGACACAAGTCGTCCTGACCCCCTTGGTCAGTTCTAGCGTTAAGCCGCGTATACGCAAGCTCGGAAAAACGTACGGGCCCTACGATTCCCTCGAGCGAGCGACGCGCGCCGCAACAAAGCGGAAACGCCGCGCGTATAATTTTCTCGTCGCGCGAGACTTTTCGTCGGCCTCGGCGCCGACGTTTCAGCACTTCTGCGCGCGTGTAATGCGAAAAATTGCGCTGTAATCGGGACGACACGCGGACTCCGGGCAACCCGGCGATCGGGCCAGGCACCGGCGGCGGTGTTGCATCTTCGTTTCTTGCGACACCTTTGTGCATTGTATTGTAGCGCGTCTCACCATCGATCTTACGATAGACCCGGCCGACTATTACGACACCGACCAACGTCGTGGCTCGTAGCGAGAACAGTCATTAATTCAGCGACGTAGACGCGCGCGAGGAACGTGCGCGCGCGCGCTTCCAGAGAGAGAAAATCGGTATGATGGAGTCATTAAACGGCTACACGCGCACACATGCGCGCGGTTATCCTTGCGCAACGCGTTGCGTCAATAAAAATCTAAGATTAGGTCGTCCTCCTCGATCCAATTAACGCCGTCAATCTTCATAGGGACGGGGCAGAATTCGATTTAACGATGCTCGCCCTGGCAGCGCGACGATTTTATTCCTCGCGAGAAAGAGCGCCGTGGAGCCCCACGCGGCGAGGATGCCAGCGAACGCGTCATCCCGTGTCAGCGGGACCGAGATCTGCTCGGCGGATACACGGCGCTCCGATTTTTACAACGCGAACGAAGGCGATACGGTAAATTAATTATCGGGACCGGGCGCGTTTGTCGATGTGGATCCGTACTTAAAGTCGAAAAATAGACGCGAAGACAACATCTTTGTGCTGTTATTGCGACAAATATTACCACATGCCTCGGTGGTGAGACGCCTAGAGCGCAGGGAGGTGTCCAGGTCCAGGTTCAAACCCCGGCTGAGGTAATACTTTCCGCAATAAATTTTTTTGTATTATCGAAAGTGCCAGACACGGTGTCAAGACAACGCTGAAGATGTAGGATCTGCACGTCGAGCGTGACGTAAGACACCGGCGATGGCGCGGAAGCAGTTTCGTGCGCGATAAAAGAAGTCTTCGATCGTCTAATCGCGCTCTGATCGTTTAATTGAAGGATAATGCGCGCTATCGAGCGCGAACCCAGGGCGCTACCCAATATAACTCGGTTACTCATCCATCGCGGACCACGCGTAGACCGGGAAGAAGTCTCGCCCGAGAGAAGTCGCGGGCCAAAGACGGATCGCGCGGTCGCGCGTGACATACAAGAACGCTCGTGCTCTCAGCTCCGGAGTTATAGATTTATAGGCTGGCGCTTCTCCCCCTCTCCCTTCCATCTCCCTTTCCTCAAGCCGCGATAGGTACGAAAGGCTTCGGCGCGGCAAGAGGACAATGCAGGAGGACGGAGTGCAGGCGACAGAAACGGGGCGAGGGGGATCTATCGATCGTCCCGGCACGAAGGATCGAGAGGGACGCCTGGCGTCCGCATTTTCGGCAAATTTACCATTTTATAGCCGCCGTAGTCCGTGTGGCAGACAAACATGCTGGCGGCAGGGAACGTGCGCGCGGCTGACTCGACGATACACGGACTCCGTCCTCGCACACGGATCACGTCACACGGGGCGGCCACATCTCACCACCACAAAGGCACGTTGATCCGGCGACGAGCGGAGGAGTTGCCGCGCGAACGAGAGGAAGACGAAGCGGAAGAAGAGGAGCCGGCCAAGTAGGGAGGCGACGAGAGGGGGACACGGCTATATCGCACGCTACAACCCCTCGTCCCAATTTCTCTCTTCGCCCTCTCCCCCCCTCTCTCTCTCTCTCTCTCGTCGTGATATATGTTAAAATATTCCACGGCACTGCTGCTTTATCCGCCTGCACCGCGCCGAAAACTTTCGCGCACGATGCCGGGTCCTCTTCCCTCCCGGCCCGTTCTATCCGTCTTCCTCTTTCTCTCTCTCTCTCTCTCTCGTCCCGCTTTTCCAACACGTCGAAAAGTGCCGCGCGTCCGCCTCGCGCGGAGCGAGAGCGGCGGTAGAATAAACTTCGGCCGCTAACGCGAGGACTATGGGGCGCCAGGCCGAAATTTAACGCCTTCTCCGGGCCATGAAAGAATCGTACAACTTTGCCGACGTCGAAACTTCGCAACTACGCTTACGCGCGGAGTTACGCGCCGCGCGCTGGGGCTCTCGCGATAGATCGATAATCGCGAGACCACGTGCGAACCCGGGGCTGGCGAGGGGAAACTGCGGGGGACTCGACTCGACTCGACTCGACTCCGATTACACGTGAAACAATACCGAGCGACGCGGACGACTACGCGCGACTGTCGGCCGCGGTATCGGCGCGTTCACCAGCGTCGATGGAGAACCATATGGCCGAGGTGGGAGCGACGCGCGACCCAATCGTCGTCGCGCTCGCACGGACGCGCGCGGTTCCGTGAAGGAAGCGACGCGGAGGGATCTTCCTCCTCGCGATATCACCGAGCCGTGCTGCCGCATGGGAAGCTCGCGCGATAAGCCCGAGTCGGTCTGCCGCGAGGTGGCTCGTAAACGCGCGCGTTCTACGGGGAGAAAAGCGCGTTTCCGCCGACGCGTGGCGAGTCCGCCGATCGACGTCGTGGATGAAGACGCGAGCGATCGCGTTTTAGCGGCCGAGCGTTACGCCAGCGGAATACAATCGTTCCGTCGCTCTCTCGCTTCTCCCTCGCGTCGACGACACAAAGTGGAACAGAGATAGATAGAGAGAGAGAGGGGAACGAACGCTATCGCTGACATACGCGTGACAAATGAAATCGTTTTCGAGAGCGCGTAACGCTGACACCGGAGTATCTCGCGGAGATAGAGGAATAATCGGGGGGGCTCGATAAAAGTATGCTTTATCAGCGAGACTGGTCGATAACGACCTTACAAATAAGAACATTTCTCCAGCCGGGAAAGGGAGGTTGAAACTGGTACTAATCGGATGATAAGCTGCGCCGCACGAGTCCCCTGTTTTGGCCCCCGTTAATTTTAATGAATTGCTTTGACACCCGCGGTCAAACACGGAACTTCGACGACACGCGTTTCGTACTTTTCTCCTCTCTCCTCGACCCTCGTTCTTCCTCATATTCCTTACAATCGTAATAGATGAGATTATATTATATCGAGGGGGGAACCGCCGAGGGCATTGTGGTGTACAGATTTGCGGCACTACTGGGCATTACTAGGCATTTTTTGGGCATTAGTTTGGGCATAAGGCCTTGCTGAGGCATTATAAAAATAAAATAAGATAAAGCAATGCCCACACAGAGAGAACGGTTTCTTTGGATTTAGTATTCCTATTTATTTGGTTGAAATTTGTTTCATTGAAACAATATATGCTTATACGAAACATTATATGTTTTGAATAAGAATTTTGTTGTTTTATTCAAACAACCTGTATTATTTGATAGAAAAAACACTATTATTTGAAGTAATATCTTTCAATGAAATAATTATATTATTTGGCCAGGCTTATAAAGTTTGGTGCTGCCACTAGATGGCCGCCGAACTCGTAAGTAAAATCGCGGCAGCTATGATATACAGGGTGATTCAGACCACCCGTACAGCCCCTTTATTTCGGAAATAGAACATTTTAGAGAAAAATGTTTCAGGCAAAAGTTATACGGTTTTAAAAGGGCTATATAATGAAAAAATAAATTTTCGAAAAAATAAATTTTTTATGGTTATATGGAGGTCGCTGTCATTTTTTTAAATGGAACTCCCTATTGTTTATTATACTATCTTATTCTACTAAATAATATGAACAACTTTTGTCTGAAACATTTTTTTATTTGCCTGCTACTGTTTGAGATATTCAAGAGAAAAATTATAACTTTTTACATGTTTAGCTTATAATATTTCGATAACTGTTTGTCGGAGGGAAAAGTAGTACAGGACTTTTTTACTTGATTTAATCTCAGGAATATGCTATTGCAATGGTTTATGTATTGTAACACATAAAATTTACATACACAAAAATTTTCAATAATTGCAACACCATTGCAACAGCATATTCCTGAGACTAAATCAAGTAAAAAAGTCCTGTACTACTTTTCCCTCCGACAAACAGTTATTGAGATATTATAAGCTAAACATGTAAAAAGTTATAAATTTTGTCTTGAATGTCTCAAAAAGTATTAGGCAAATCAAAAAATGTTTCAGACAAAAGTTGTTTATATTAATTAGTAGAATAAGATAGTATAATTAACAATAGGGAGTTCCATTTAAAAAAAATGACAGCGACCTCCATATAACCATAAAAGATTTATTTTTTCGAAAATTT